ATATGATATTGAAGGAAGTTAGCCGTTAACACTGTTGAATAAATATAAAATAAATCATCAAAGGTACATATGTGGCGATGGCAAGCCAAAACGGTCGGAAGTGGCTAAGACGATTTTAAGATTTTAAGGCAAAACAATAGATAAGGTCAAATTTGCTCATTTTGGTGTTTCATTAAAAACATGTATATTAAGTATCTAAGAATAGGATTCAAGTAATATTTTTCACATTTAAGTACCAACAATACTGTAAAACGTGATTTTAGTTAGACACTCGAACCCGGAAGTATGAAAAACGAAAGCAAATCATCGTTTAATACTCACCAAATTACTGTTTTTTTCAATCGTGTTCCGGGGTCAAACTCGTGTCAAGTTTGATATCGTTGGAAAGCTTAGAATGTCAGCTACAATTTTGATTGGTCAGTTTATCCTCACAAATTATTTAACCAATCAAAACAGTCGTTTTGATACTGTAAACAATTCGGAAGCGGCCTAGCAACAAACGGAAACACGCATGCTGATTGCTCTTATCCAGTCAGCTGACCACTTTTGGGGCGTGTCTAAGACCGCGTCGCTTGGGTTTTCAATGGAAGCGTCGGCAAGTTAGTAGTGCGCGTTATATGTTTTCATCGAAGCTCGAAGCTCGAAGTTCGAAGTTACTTGTTTACTGCTGCAATAATTATAAAACAATAATACTGTTTCTTTTATACAAGAAAATTCGGTAGTACAGGTACATGCAAAATGGGCTATACTGTATAACACAGACTTGATAAAGTTGACGACGAATAAAACGCGTTCCGTAATAGTTTAACGCACTGGTTTGAAGGTCGCAGTGTTCGATTTCCGGTTGTTTACAGTAAAAACGACTATCACATTTGAATCAGTAATATCACATTTATTAATGAATGTAAGTACATGAAACTTGGTACAGCTATAAAATACATTATGTAAAATGTTTCTGCGAAATTTCATTTCAATCGGTCAATGGTAACACCTCCGTTGTTAAGGAAGTATCGAACACACCGAACACATGTGAGTGAACTACACGCTGAGCGCACTGCCAGCGATTGGGCGTTATAAACATCAGTTTTATCGCTGTTTCTTCCAAACAGTAACTGCTAATTTCGCGCTATATAAATCGGTATAACTTTAGAACTAAGTATCAGAATTTAATAATTTTTTCACTGTTTTATTTATTATAATGTGATTATTCAGTTGATGGTGTTAAATAAAAATTGGTTTTTCCGACTTCCGACCGTTTTTGCTTGACATCGCCACATATACAGTGTTTTAAATAAGGACATGATGGAACATCGTAGGCTACCCTGTAGCTTTTCAACGAATAAAGCCTATGAAAAATCATTGTTTAATCAAATGCCTCCGACGAGATTCGAACCTGCGTCCTCTCGCTGACAAGGCGAGCATCATAACCACTAGACCATGGTTGAACAGGTCCAAATACCCGTCGGGAACATTGTATTACACAATGCTATGCCTCAAGAGGGTGTTCGACCAGATAAATCTGGAAATATGGCTAGAACACTGTTGAATAAATATAATATAAATCATCAAAGGTACATATACTCTTTTATCTATGATTTCAACTTATGGTCATCTTAAGAAGTAATAACTGTCTCTTATACACATATATATTGTAGTCATTTTTCATGTGGCCTTAGATTCTTAATTGTTTTTTTTTCTTGGTGGTCTAAGCTAAAGTGTAAAGTGTAATTGAAAAAGAAGAAAATATGTCTAACAATACTTTTTTGTCAAAATATTAAATATTATGTAAATAATATGAATTCAAACATTCATAGTAATTTTTACGAATATGGATTTGACTGATTTTGGATATGTTATTACTGTATCATAGAAACTGCACTTCTAATAATGTAAAAATATACGTTTTTACCGCATTTTCTTCAGTTCAACTGTCCAACAACTAGACTAAATATGATGAATGGATGCCTATGGCATCATACACTGTTTAGTGTACTCCCAGATTGCGAGCGCTCCACTGACGTGAACGTTGAGGGAGCGCAACACTCCAAGCTGTGGGATTTCAATACAGACATCTAAAATATTTATCAGCTCGACTGGAATTCCGCTTCTCTCATTTCTATTTCATGGGGAAAAGAAAATTATTATGAAAAGACAAGCAACAACAAATACAAAAAAAAGTTCAATTTTATACACATATCATAGTTTTAGTAAAGAACACTTATAAAAATGTATAATGTACTCGAGCAGAGAATGTACAGCAAATCTGAAAATGGGCAAACCCTAAAGGCCAACCCAGACAGCATAAATGAAGCCTGTTGTGATTTGTTGTTGCATCGGGTATGTGTGAGTTGAGAGCTGAGTTGAGCGCTGATGCGATAGATCTGCATCTGTGATGGTTGCGTCGTAGAATATTAAACATTTAATATTCTCACAATGACCTGAAGACAATTTACTGCATATTATGACAACGTCATAATATGCAGCGAGACAGACAAGAAATGTTTGATGTCAAAACTAGAAACTGACAATAATGTGTAATTGAGACATAAATATTAAACATTTAATATTCTAACAATGACCTGGAGACTGTCTCGCTGCATAGTATGACACTGTCCGAGTTGGCCTTAAAATTGACAAAATATTTTTGATGTCAAAACTAGAAACTGACAATAATGTGTAGTTGAGACACAAGACATACCCAAGTAAAATTAATGTTTTTGGAGGGAATGTAAATTCTGTGAGGCTTTTGCTGTTTGCGGTCTGCTCCAACCCAATAAGCAAGTAACCATCATGCCTCTTCTTCATGATATACTCTTTCAGCTCATATGGGCGAACCTGAATATAGGTGTAAAAAAAAAGAGATAATGAGATAATAGAGTTGATTACTCAATTTTAAACTATTTTAGTCTATTTATACATAAATTCTGTATTTTCCATTTCGTAATCAAGTATCGATCCAAGCATTGGTAGTGAATTTATTACTAGGTGCACATGTTGTATTTCTGCTGAGGTGACCAGAATACATGTACTAAAAATCTAACAAATAGGCTTACTTCTTCAATGTTTAGCCACTTTTGTGCAGTCACACTCAAATTCTGAAACTCCTTGGTTTCAGTTAATAGAAGGTTTGGCAAGACAACAGTACCAACACTAAATATTTCACTGGTACGACAAAGACCTAAAAGTGCAAGATAAAAATAATTTATGATAATGAATAAAGTGGCGTAGAGATTAAGTTAAACATTCCACTTAAAATGAGAGCAAAAGAACTATTCATCTGGTGTACAAATGTAGACATGATGTCATTTTTGTATTCTTTGCAAAGAGCCATCAATTTAGTAGTCAAAGTAATATTTTTTGAATTAATAACTATTAAAAACTGAATTGTATCAAAAGCATGTGCCATGGCTACTAGGTATAAAGAAAGTTGATTTAGAAATGAGAATAATTTAGTTGGCAATGTCTTTTCCTATGAATAACAGGTAATCCCGATTAAATGCTCATACCTCCTAAATTTGGAACCTTGTTGACAAGGGATGTGACAAGGATAAGTTTGCTCCTGTTCTGGTTTGTTGTTTGAATGGATTCAACATCCAGTCCAGGTATCGATTCACCTGCTTTTGGCATGATTTTCTTTTGAACATCATCTGTGCTTGTGGCATCAGCAACTTCTTCATCACTTACTTTCTGATGACCTAGACATGAAAAAAAAAAAAGATAAAAGATTAACATTCTCGGTACACAAGGACTACATCTCTAAAATGCCACTTTTTATACAAAAACAAAAAATCTAAAGTTCACTTTAAAAAACAATGTCTATCTAGACAGAAGTAATTGTAAATGTCAGCTACTTAATTGTTTTATAATATAAATTTCTTACAATTTAGATTGATATTAACATAGCCAGCATGCTTGAATTCAAACCAACTAGTGTTTCAAGAATATTAGTGAAATAAACACCACCTACTATGCTTCACTTTGGTTGCTTTCCATGTTCCTGGGCCTAGCTCCCGTAATCCCTGCCTATCGCATGATGCTTTCAGGCTGTATGATAAATCAGTCCTAGCCCACAATGTAGCATTTTCTTCTAAAAAGATGTCTGGAGGAATCAACTGTTCTGGCATCATCAGTGTAAGATATGGGATTGTGTAGAATATGGTCTGTGTAAAATGATAGTTAAAATATGTGAACACCATTACAACTTTATTTCAACTGCCATTATTGTCATCATTTAGTGTATCTTTAAGTACAAAGCCTTCTTGAAGACTTTTTGAGTGGCATCAACAATTACCCTTATCCAAAATTGCATTTTTTAAATTTAGGTTTATCTGTTAAACGTTATTATTTCTCGCATATTTCTTTAAATCCTACCACAGGATTTATGTCCATGACCAAGAGTAACAAGCTAAAGCTCGGTTTCCATAAAATCGCTCACCCTATCAGCGACAGTCGCCGACAGTTTTTGGGAAGGTTGAACCTGGTTGAACTTAGCCGATTGCATTGCAGAGGAATCCTAGCTACCCTGACGCAATCAGGAAGGCGCCTTGATTTGTCTGCAATGCAATCGACACGAGTTGAAGTAGGCTGAGCCTTCTCGAAACCTGTTGCCGATAGGGTGAGTGATTCTATGAAAACCAAGCTTTAGTTATGACTGCAAAGAAATTTATTGTGAAAAAGTCTAAAAGTCAAATACACAGAATTAAAAAAATTATGAAAAAAAAACTTATTAATCTGTATGTTATCCACAAACCTCAAAATTGCAGTCAAGTTGTGGATGAAATTTCAGAAGAAAGAAGTTGGCTTGTAATCTGTCCAGGATACTAAAATGTACACTGCAATAACATTAAAGAAAATAAATTCCAGAGTAAGACAATAATGTATAAGTTGGAAATGCATTTTGTGACTTCTGTAAGTTTCTTATAAGTCTAAATGTTTTTAACTGTATTATTATATTCATTGAAAGTGCAAATTTTTAAAATATTTTAATGATTTTATGCATGTTTTATGCTTGTTTTAAAACTCGAGATCTGAATCTTACTTTTGAGTTCAACAGAGTAAATTAATGGAAGGCAAAAGATAATTTAATGATAAAGAAAGTGCTGGTGTAACAGTGGAAAATGATCAGCATATGGTTCACCCTAAGAACATAGATGGAACTGCTGTAGCAAAACTGAGCCGTACAAACTTGTTAGGTATCTGATATACAAGTTCTACAGATGTTTACTTTGATTTTCCACTTACCTACTAGAATTCTGAAACTGAACACAAGCAGCAACTGCAGGGTACATTGCTTTTACATCCTCTAGGCTAGATGACTCACACTCTGCCCACAATTTTGACAGCGCTGCCTGAGCATAAAGCTGGATAGAGAAGTTCTTTGACAAGCAGAATGATAGGACTAGAGGTAGGGCTTGTTGGAGGAATGCAGCCTGCGAAAAAATGTTTTTTTAACCTCATTAACAAATTAAAATGAAAGTATAAAAAGGTAGGGAACCAGTGGCGGCACCAGCGTTTGAAAGCTGGGGAAGAGACCTCAAGGCAAAATTTTAGGGGGGACAGGGGCAATATGCTGGGGTAGCCTGAAGTGGTCGAATGTTGTTCAAAATGTCTCAAAAGTGGTAAAGGGGGACAATTTAGGGGTTTCAGAGGCTTACTTGATAGATTTTAAATCAAAATGCCTTGTAGTTTCAAAACACTCCCAATCACCTCAAGGGAATACTCACCTTTTGTTGTATATCAGCCATTATTATTCCCAGGTGAGTGAGGATGGTCAATAGGGAACACACCTGGTTTCTGTTCCAATCTTCTGTTTGTGTTACCTGAAAAAAAAATGAATCCCTATGCTATGTTCAATTTAACCAGACGTTTGACAGAACTAGTCATAAATCTAATTTGTTGCATAAAATTCAAAGTTAATCGAAAATGGCTTAAACCTGATAATGAAACTTGTGCTTTAAGCATAAACCATCACATAGTAGAACTCTTGTAAATTTAAATCACCTTCTTTAACAGACACCATAGTCTCTCCTGAAACTCTGGAAAGCGATCCATCAACAGGATAAGCACCCACTCTTGGAAATACTTGACTGAGGGCTGGTTGTCCATAACAAGACATTCAAGAATTGGTGGGAAAATCACTTCAGCAGTTTGAAGACAAATACATGGCAACAGTAGCAATATCGTCTGCCAAATCTTCTCCTTCAGTCTATGTCTCTGTGAGTTACACACATATTTTCTTCTGGAGACCTCCTTCTTCTCCTACAAGATATAATGTACATATTCTAAACAACAAAAAATCAATAAAACCTAATGTTAAACTTTTGTTCACAAGGTAAAATTTTTTACTAATACTACAGTCACACACAAAGTGCAAAGTGGGGGCAACAAGTGTACTGCTGCCTATTCTGTCATATGACGAAGGAAGAGATGCAACGTGTTCAACCAAGGTCAAGCTTCCATGAATGAACCTTGCTACAGTATAATGACGAAAACATTGGCAAAGCAAAGGATATCTCACGCAGTGTTAGGGAAACTATGATTAATGAAAATTAACTTTTGTTCACAAGGAAATATTTCTTACTCAGACATTTTCAACCATTCACTATGTTCTTCCTTAAAAAAAAAATAATAAAAAACTGTGGTATGTGACAGAAGGAAACTACAAAGATTCAGGGGATATAATCCTACAAACATGTACTGTACCTAAAAGTGTATCATACATTTTTAGAAGCCTGTGTTGTTCCCAACTCAGTAGTAAATTTGTAAATTGTCATAAATGTTTGTATAACTGCCTTCATCCCACGTCTCTCAAAGTTACACGGTTACCTAGGATGTTCACTTGTCAAGTCCAACTTGTGTCCTCGTTATTTTATATGGATGTTGAGAAATCTCCAGAAATACATGTCAGTGGTTCCCCCAGAAAATGAGTCTTGAGAGTTCTCTCTCATTCTTCAATGTCAGCCTCTTTAGATTGGCCATAAGAAGTTTGCCCTTTGCAAACAATATAGTAGATTGAAACTTTCATGGCTTTCTTAGGCTTTCTTCTTTCAGTGACACTAAAACTGTCTCAGTTTAAGACCAGTTTTGTGTATTGTCTTGAATGTTCGTTTGACGGTTTCAGAAGGTCCTTTCACAAACAGCATGATCTATCAGCCAACTCCTCATTGTCTTTTGAGATTTTTCATTATTAGTTTTAGTCGCTCAGTTGATGAATTGGATATCTTGTCCAAAAACTTCAGTTCATTTATCTTGGGTATTATCAGCATACCTCTACCACCAAATTGGAGGATGCATGGCAGAACGTTTAGCCTGTTGTTTCAAGTTTTGCATGTAGAGGTTATACATAGTGGCAGACACACTTCAGCTGGCAGTTCCAGTTTTAATGGTAGAATGTGCCACTGTAGACAAAATAATGTTCTCATAGCTTCATCAGGTTTTGTGACATTACAGTGGTCCTTGTAGTCCTTGAATCTTTTAGAATTCTGGAAAAAATGATATCTAGAGATCTGGTGTCAACTGGAACCAAAGTGACAAGAGTGCTGTGATATCAAAGTGGTCCTTTTAGTGGAGGAAAAATTCCTATAGAGGTACAACTTGTTTTTTGTTTTTCTTTGTTGTTCTTGAGCAGTGTATTGTCTTTTGTTGTGCATCCTTACTATTGACGCCTCTTTACACAAATATTTCTGTTCATAAACTTCGGGATGACAAGTAACTATCTTCACCAGCCAGCAACATACAGATGTTTTTGTTTCCTATAAGCTGTTCCAACACATCCATTTTAGTTAGTTTCCTAGGCCTACCTATGTCAACCCGAGATCTTGTGACAGGCAGTTTTGGTCATTGTCAAGATGTCAACAACGGGAAGAAAATAATTTTTAACAGTTGCCAACACAAGCTTCTAAACATCTATGAACCATTTTAGGTTTACAAGTTTGTAAGATTATTATAAAACATGAATACTGTACAATCATTATATCAAACACTTTAAATTATCTTTCTTTCAACCTCATTCTTGTAAGTATGTTGAGGAAGAATGAAGTGAATGGTTGAAAATTTTATGGTAGGAATTAATCTCTTGTGTTAAAGGACCAATGTTTCAAATTTGTTTTGTATTTGACCACCTAAATGGATGTTATTTCAATCCACATGTTTGTGTTAATTTAGAAATTACCTAATTTGAATAGCAGCTTGTGATTTTTTTAAAATACAGTGTTTTTGTATAGCGCTAACTCTTCTCTATCGACTAGTAAAAAGGGCAGCTATCTTTCTGAATGCCACAGAGAACAACATTAATTTTTATAATCTTATTTCTTTATGATGGTCAAATACTTAGAATCAGATAGAAGTTTTGAAACAAAACCTCAAAATATCCAGGATCAACAAACATGACGATGGATAGCAATAGTCTGTTGATGGCCTTTAGCCTAGAGCATAATGGAACACAGAGTCTAATAAAATTCATACAGCTTCCTATTGGCGACAGGATGGATGAGCTCGATGCTCATATGAAAAGGATCCACCCAAAAGACTGCACCACCAGAACCCCAAGGTTGATAGGCGATACTTTTTCTGACACGAATTGTACATACACTTGATGTAACTACTAATTGGGTATCAAAAAATTTAATCTGTTCTTTGTTATTGAAGATTAATATTTTCTCTATGTTATTTTTTACAGCCTCCGAATTCCATGTGTCATTGCTGTAGTATGGATACACTGTGTTTAAGGGAATACAATATGTACATTTTCGGCTAAGAGGAGATTTTTCCTGCAGAATACTATCTGGACAACAGAAAAAAGAGATCTTTCAAGCAGAAGCCTTTCTCAGATTTACTACTTATTTACCATTTTACTCATATTCTACGTCTCAATAAATCATGATAAAGCAAAAACAGAATTGAATAATGAAGCAGTCATGTCGAGACTTGACAAGTTAGAGCAAATGTTTAACAAATGTATGGCGGCTTTCCCTGTCAGTGGGAATAATGACAAATTTGCTAAACAGGACCAGGGTGTCAATTGGAGGACCCTGTGACAGTGTCTGAATTTATTATGGAACATGCCCCTTCTAAGGAAGGAGGTGAGGAAATAGGTCATCAGCCAGAGAGTACCTCTAATGGCTGCAAAATTTGCTACTCCTCCGGGAGTGGGTGAACCACTGGTTGATGACATTGCAGAGACCATCAATTTTATGATGGGACAAATTATATGGTAATTACTGAGAATAGGCCTAATGTGCTTTAAAAACAATATTTTATGTCGAACATTATCACAGAAAATTCTTACAGGAGAGGAAAACTGCACTTTGAACCTACCCAACACTTGTACACATTTGGTGGATTGTTTAACAAAGACAGGTCTGCTTTATGACATTTAATGTATGAAAATGGAGAAATTTGTGAGAGGTTATTGTCACATGCAGGTATGTTAATACAACTATAATAATAATTAAAATTTACTGAATCACAACCTCTAGCACTTATAATTTTATATTGGGATCTTCTTTCTGTCCAACCAAACAGTATTAACCCTTCAATCAGGTCCAAATTCGTCTTAAATGTAAGCGATCGACATCAGCCAATGTCAGGCTCAACAGGTTATGGATCCAAAACCATGAAGTACGGATCAAAGATTGTATTCATGAGCAGGCTAAAAAGCTTTCAATGAAATAGTATGTATACAAAAATGTGGACACAAATGTATTCGGCTTTTTTTGAAGCAATTATTTAAAAGAAAAGTTGTTATTCTTATAAATCATTGGCATCTCCTATTAACCATTTATGGGCAAATGATATAAAATGAAGAAGAAACATGTAAGAGCCCCATCATGTGAACAAACTTACTTAACCGAAGCATGTGACAACTGCCTCCAAAGAAATTGCTATAAAAGTTGTATGTATGGAATTGGAGGTAGATCCAAACCAAGTCTCGGCTTGTGTGCATAGGCACAACACATAGGCACACATATTTTCTATTCCTTGATCCTTTTTCAAGTACCATTTGAGGAATTCTAGAGCAGCTTTTAAATAAATACAGACCATTATGTTTTTATATTTCTCATAGGCTATAGTAAATAGGTGCTAGAGCTGCTTTACTCATTAATATCCAAATAAACTTTTCACTTACCAATTTGCTCCTTTTATCTGTTTAAATTGATTAAAGGTTTGCCTCTATTTAATTTGTGTGTTGAGAAGGGTTGTACTGTACTACAGTATGTGATTTGTTGTTTTTCAACAGGAAGAACACGCCTTATGAAAAGCTGTGTGTTGATGTGTCTGCCTACTTAGCTAAATGCGAAAACAATCATGAAAGGTTGACTTGCAGAACGTAACTTTATTAAATAATAATATTAACAACAATACTATATTCTCGGGTTAATTTTCTATTTACTATCAAGACTTCATTTAAATGTAAAAATGAAAGGGCAGCTATCGTATCTTCGTGAGATTATAACTGTTTTGTATGAACACGGATTTTGGCAAGTCCGATGTCCTAGTGTAAGTGGGGCACGGACAGTCCAGAACACTCCAGAGGTTAAGGGATTTGTAAGAATTATTTAATTGATTTTAGAGTTACAATCTGTAAAAAGAAAAAAAATTATGATGGGTCAGGAGTGGGAAGCCGATACCATCACCCAGTGGCTTCTAATTGTGTATTTAGAGTTCTTACTATGTCATACGGCATCTGTTAAATAATTGATAACAACAAAGATACGATGATTTAACAAACAGAAATAGTGAAAGGTCACAACATTTGTATAATGCCTGTAGCCAAATTTTAGATTAAATATTTAAAAAAATCATAAAAATCAACCAAACACCCACATTTAATTTTGTAAACGTTTTAAATGTTTTGACACTTGGTGGATTCTGTGACATCAGTATTTTAGACATCCAATCAAATTAAAAAAAAAAAAACAATAGCCAGGAATGGTTCATAAGAGGAACAAAAAGTGATAGGGAAAAATATGGCAACAATTTTACTGTGAGCATTCGGAAGTTCAGAGGCAAGCCGATATAACATGTGATACAAGCAAAATCATATTGAGATCCATCAATTCTTTAATGTCACTGTTTTTAATTTAAAGTAGTTTAAGATCATACCCTGGACCTCAGGGAAGAACAGTGTACTAATACAGAATAAAGAAAGATTTCTATCTATCTATCTAAATATCGATGTAAATCTATATTCATAAAGATTATGACATTATGTAGGGTTAAAGTCTATGTACATTATATGGAAAATAAATTTTAATCAC